TCTAATTACATGACATGCAGTCTTCACCAAGAAGCCAGAATCTTAAATTTATAGCTCACTGTTGCCATCTGAGATATAAGTAGAACTACAGTTACTCTGGTTTACTTTCCATTAAGTCAACTTCCTTGCTCTTCTTAAACTCCACTACTCCTTCTTTAATTTTAGCCCTTCTACGAACACATGGATCTTCATAGACTATAAGAATCACTTGATTGATGTGTTTCATTTACATTTTAGAGAACTTCCATAAAAAGTGAAAGCTCTCTCAGTGTGTCTCAGAGAGATTATCCCACAAAGAAATGTTCCTCTTTGAGCATTTTCTTATATTTCTTCCTGTCTTCAAAATAAGTCATATCATTTAATTTATTTTAATCTTTTCTATTAAGTGCCAGTAGCACAAAGTCTCAATATAGTCAGCAGTCCTAAACAGCCCAGGAGAGGGAACCTCTATAATAATTAAATGCCTGTAGAATATATATTTATTATGGTTCGAGATTCCTAAATTGAGAGAGGGAACTTCCTCCACTAGTTAGTAATGAAATGCAGAAGTGAAACTGAGTATCGTATACCTATAATACTTAGTTCTAACTCTTTCTTCATCATTGTCATTAGGAGAGTTGGCATGCAGAAACATCTTGAGAGTTGCATATTTTAATACATTATTTACCTTTTCCACACAGACTTTGATAGTCATATAAATTCAGCCTTGCTCAGAGTTGTCCAACCTTTTGGCTTCTTTTGTCCACACTGGAAGAATTATCGTCTTGGGCCACACATAAAATATACTAACACAGGCTCCGAGCAAGATGGCAGCCTCCGAGCCGGTTAGGCTAGGGCTTCAATACCCACCAGCAGCTACCCTGCACTGTATGGCCTTCCTGGCTTTTGGTTGACTTGAACAGATGCCGAGTCATCACAGATCTCATTAGTCTCATCTGCCAGCGCTTTGGCGTCGGTTCTGGGGCCCTCCGAGGCCTCTAACTGGAGCGGGGGCTTGTGCCCCCAACTGAGAGCGGACGCCTGGTGAGAGACAATGACTGCCTTAGAGTTAAATTAGAAGACAGAGGAGTTGCTGAGAATTCTGTAGTCATCAGTAATGGTGACAGTATTCATTTATCACTTAGAAAAGCAAAAAAGCGGACATTTAAGTTAGAGGAGGATGAAGAAACTGAACCAGATTACAAATATTCAAAGAAGCATTGGAAGAGGCAAGAGAACAATAACAATAATGAGAAGGTCTTGAATCTAGAACGAAAAGCTGTCACAGATCAGACTATAAGCCAAAAAGAAAAGAGAGAAAAAATAAAGCAACCTGTGGCACAGTGGGTGATGATAACAAAGAGGCCAAAAGAAAATCACCAAAAAAAAGGAGGAATGTGAATATGAAAAAAAGGCCAGGAATCTCAACTCTCCTAAAGTACAGGCAGTAAAAGACTGGGCCAATTAGAGATGTAGTTCTCCAAAAGGTTCTGCTAGAAACAGCCTTGTTAAAACCAAAAGGAAAGGTAGTATAAGCGTTTGCTCAAATGGGAGTCCCAGTTCCTCCTCGGAGTCTGAGTCTTGTCATGAATCAATCAGTGATGGTCCCAGCAAAGTCAGTTTGGAGGCCAGAAATTCCTCAGAGAAATTACCAACTGAGTTATCAAAGGAAAGACCCTCTACCAAAAGTACAACTGCAGAGAAACTGGCTACAAAACCTGGCTTTGGCCTTACGCCCAGCAAGGGCAAGACCTCTGGAACATCATCTTTTAGTTCAGATTCTGGTTCAGAGTCAGATGACCAATGCTTGATGTCATCGAGCACCCCGGAGTGTGCTGTGGGTTTCTAAAAGACAGTAGGCCTTTTTGCAGGAAGAGGTTGTCTAGGCCCTGGGCTGTCATCACAGACTGCAGGTGCTGCTGGATGAAAGCCTTCTGGCTTAAATGGTGGCAGACAGGCTTTTGGTCCTTTTCCCAATGTGTCTGTCCCCAGTTTAGGAAGAGGATGGGGTAGAGGAGAGGACCTTTTTTCTTGGAAGGCAGCTAGGGGATGGGGCATGTGGGGGAGAGGTCGAGGATGAGGGCATCCTGTTTCCTGTGTTGTAAATAGAAGCACTGGCAACCAGAGACAACAGCAATTAAATGAAGTGGTAACAAATTCATCTACTGTTTTCCAGAATCCGGTAGAGACACACCAGAAGGACTGTAATCTGTTACTGCTGTTAGCAGCTGCCCCTCAAATTGGAGAAAAGGTTGCATTTAATCTTTGGAACTAACATCCAGTTACACTCTCATGATGTCTCTGATTACAAGGAAAAATATTAAGCCGCAATCCAGAGATACAGCAAGTAGATAGAGAAATTCTTTCATCCTTACCTACCTTGAGAGAACCTGGGAAATTTGATTTGGTTTATCACAATGAAAATGGAACCGTGGTAGTGGAGTACGCTGTGATGCAGGAGAGCAAGATCACTGTATTTTGGGGAGAGCTGATTGATCCAAGACTGATTATTGAATCTCTGAGTAATACATCAAGTACAGAACCTGTCTGAATATGACCTCTCCACCATATAGTTTATGAATGTCTTGTTTGTGAAAGTGACTATAACTTGGAGTTTTTTTTTTTTAAGAGGATTTGAAAGTTGTATGGATTTTTTTGTTTTCTTCATTTTACTGCATAGGAAACAATCTACCTCATCATTTAAAATGACATGGGTGTCGGTTTTGTAGACCTTTGTTTTTTTTTTTTTTGGTCAGGTTCAATTTCAGTTAACAAAACGTAAAACATGACATTCCCTGCAGACATTGTTGTATACCAATGCGTATGGTTTCTTCTCTTTTTTAAAAGTTTTTGACCATCAAGCAGCAGTTGTCAGTAGGAGTTTATAATACCAAGAATGTGCTGCATATCTTGTCTCAATAAGTTTTAAGTAACATTTAAAAATATTAAAGCATATTACTTGACCTAATTTTTTAGCATTTGAGTTGTTCCATTAAATGGAGCATCTCGTAAATTTCAAGTATTTTATACTTGCAATTGTTAAGAGTTAAAAGGTAGTTGGATTTGTCCCAGACAATGAGTTAAGGAATCCTTCACGTTTTTTCCCAACTGAGCTTCAGGCCAGGAAATGCGTCATCTTGCCAAGCACCTGGCTGAGTGTGCTGGAGTGAGGATTTGAACAGAAACTTCCTTTTCTGTTATTATTCGCCACAAAGCTAAAGTGGCCAAATATATACTGTGAAAATTGGTTTCTTTTAACAAAGGATCAGATCCCTCCTTCAGTTGTACATATTTTTAAATAAAATCATATTAAACTAAAAAATATATATATACTAGCATGAACGATAGGTGATGAGCTAAAAAATTGCAAAAAAATCTCATAATATTTTAACAAACTTTACCAATTTGTGTTGGGCTGCAGGTTGGACAAGCTTGGTCTAGCTTAAGTTTTATGGATTACTTGTGCAATAGAATTGAGTTGATGTCTACAGTATTTTGAAGAGTGTGAAAGTGGTTTTTTAAATTTGTACTGTATGTTATAAAGCAGTATGAGTAACATACTTTATGTGTGAGACTTTACATGCCTAAGAAATACTTTTGTTAAGAAGGGTTTATATTTATGGTGGAGTATTTGTTACAACATGGGGTCTATACATACTTGTAAAGAAATTAAGGATAGAGAATGCATCACTCAGGCCCCAGACAACCTTTCCATTCATATGGATTGATTAGTCATCACATAGTCCATATTTTTCTACTGTATTTTAGTCCCAGTTGACACCTTATGTATCATATTCCTTAGTTCCCAAACATGTTCCCTTCTTTCTTTTCATGCAACTTTTAATTACTCATTTGTCCGAGTCTGAATCCTGAATATTACCCTGATTCCATTTTGTTTCACCACCCCTTTCCAAATGTAGCTTTAAGTTTTTCCTGTTTCTTTTTCTACTCCCAGAACCCACAACTATAGCTCTGAAGTATGTTTCCAGTGAGTTTTCAGTATCTGCATGTGTTTGCTCTAGCTCAAGGTGTGTTTTTTTTTTTCTGATATTTATGTCATTAATTGATCTCTCTGATGAATCTTGTCAGAGAAGTCTTCCAGAAGGACATCTCAGACCATGTTTCTCTCTAGATTAAAAAACCTTCAAAGACTTCCAAGTATGTACAAAGAGTTCTCTTGAATTCCTTCATCTGGTCTTCAGGGTCCTATGCTATGACTTCAACTTTTCTTTATTACCCTCCCTCAAATATTTTTTCTCTTATCCTTTTTATACTTCTTTCCTTGTGAGCCTTCTGTCATTTTTTGGCCTGTACCTATCCATTTCCCTGTTCTTGCATTTCCAAATATCATCTATCCTTCAAGAGTTGGCCTTTAGGTTTGTCTTCCAGCTGGAAGTAATCTTTTCTTCTTGGGAACTCCCAAAGGCCTTTTCTGTTTGTTATTGTACTTAGTATCCTTTCTGTTGAACTATGGTTGTTCATGGTTACTGGTATTTCTTGTGTACGTTTTCTGGTACACGTATATTCTTAAGACATATGCAGTTCTGGGGGTATTTCTTAGTGGAGAAAAATAAAACCTTGGAGATATTTTATATGCCAAAGATAAAAAGGATTGTGTGTTCTATAAAGATCTACAAAAATATGCTTGGAAGTAGTTTTGCTAAAAAAAGAGGTATAAGAAATTAGATACATAGATGAGACCTTGGATGACTGACTCAAATCACTTTCAGACAGATGAAAACTAACTTCTAAATCTTTCTAGAAGGTTAGATTTAATGATATGTTCAATCATTTAAACAGTTACTTATATGAGACTTACAAGCAGAATTTTTTTTTTTTTTTAGTATTTTTACAATATGCAGTTCACTTCTTGATACTCCTTAGAATTTTTTAAAAGATTTTCCTGATTCTTAAATGGTTCTATTCTTTTTTGCACTTCTTCTGTTAATGATGTGTTTTATTTTTTTAGTTCTCTGTTTGTCCTGGCAAAACTTACATTTGGAAAATGTTCTATTTTTCAGGTATCCTGGTCAGATATAGGAGGACTGGAAAACATCAAACTGAAGTTGAAACAGGCTGTGGAATGGCCCTTAAAACATCCAGAGTCTTTCATTCGAATGGGTATTCAGCCACCTAAAGGAATTCTTCTGTATGGGCCACCTGGGTGCTCTAAAACAATGATAGCAAAGGCTTTGGCCAATGAGAGTGGACTGAATTTTCTAGCTATAAAGGTAGGATGTTAAATTTTTTAATGGCTACTCTCTCTCTTGGCCTCCGCTGATGCCCATCCTCTGACTCCTACCTTTAGGAGAACGAATAAAGGCATCTTAACGAGCAGTGATTCTTCTTTTTTTTTTTTTTTTTTTTGATATTGGTGGCGATATAATATAGGGAGATGAGTGATAAGAAATAAATTTGTGCATGTAATCAGCAAATTATGGTAGACATTGAGAAGACTGCTTTATTTAGTTTCTTGATTCTGATATTTCTTATATCCATGTGTAACAGAAACTAATCCTTTTTTTGTTTCTACATTTTTAATTATAGACTTTTGCTTAACCAGGATTTAAAGATAAACGTGATAACGAATTCAATATTTATATACCTAGAATTTTCAAATGAACAAGGCACTTGTTATAGTATACTAAATTCTTTAAAAATACTTTTCCAGTCAGAAAGTATATGTTCATTGTTTTTATTCTGAACCACACACACACATTTTATTCGTTCATTGCTCTGCTCCCATTAACTGGGATAGATAATCTTTCATGATATGTAGTTGTACACTTACTTTAGGACCAGATATTAATTTTATGTAACATTGTGATGTATCCAGGTACTTAATCCACACATATAAAATCATAAATCCATTTCTGTGGACTGTATCACAAAAATATGTACCTAAATAGATTTACTATCAATTCATTTCAGAAAAGGCACACGATCATCTGTTTTGATATTACCAGGGATTTTTTTGCATAACAATGCATTTTCTATCTTAGAACATTGAAATCATGGGCAGTTTGAAAGCATAAAACTTCAGAGTAGTTTGTCAACTTTTGGCTTTACTTAAGATTTATATAGAATGATACTTAGGTGTGATTAAGCTGTTTGTTCTTTAAGAGTATCTTCAACATATTTTTTATTTTCTGTAAGATATTGGAGAGTAAATATAGGGGGAGGAGACCATTTATAGCATGATCACTTATGGGGAATCACAACTACAGTTTTAAAGGTTGCAGGTTTATTTGTTATTTTTTTGAGACATCGTCTCACTCTGTGGCCCAGGCTGAAGTATAGTGGTGTGATCATAGCTCACTGTAACCTCAAATTCTTGGGCTCAAGCTATCCTTCTGCCTCAGCCTCCTGAGCAGCTCGGACTACAGGTGTGAGCCATCACACCAGCTAACTTTTTAACATTTTTGTAGAGACAGGGTCTCACTGTGTTGCCCAGGCTGGTCTCAAACACCTGGCCTCAAGCAGCCCTCCCACCTTAGCCTCCCAAAGTTCTGGGATTATAGAAATGAGCTGCTGCACACAGCAAAGGTTGCAGTTTTAAGGGTTGAAGTAATGAGTGATTTTGAAATTTCCCAGGACATCTTGATTTCTCCTTGGTCCTTGTCCTTTTATCAAGTGGTAATGGGGATGGCTGTTTACTGGCATTTTCTAGTCTTTTTACTGTCATCTCCATTTTTCTGTTCTTACCTTCTATATTTTACAATTGTATATTCATAGTCTTAGAATGTTTCTTGTCTATTGGAAATCTAAAACTTATTTGAGAACCTGTGAGCCAAGTCCTTATCAAATAAGTTGTAGACTTGACTCTTAAGAGCACACTTATTTTCTTACAAACCAGTGTCTTACTTTTTTTGTGATCCAAGATAATAATTTTAGGTACTACCAAGACTGCTTTCTGGACTATTCTAGAATTACTTAGAAATATATTTATTATCTTTTTTGAACATAAACATTTCATAACCATAGACAATTTCACTTTTAGTCTTTTTTTCACTATGAGGAAATCGTAAATGATTCTTTGAAAGGTTTAACTTTGTACACTGTTATATAAAATAACCAGGCACACGTTCACTTATTTGAGCTTTTTCATTAGATTTTTAGGTCACAAACAGAAAAGCCATGTGATGTTAACAAATTATCTTAATTGAGTTCATAACTCAGAGACTATTATATGTCCTAATTACTAATTTTTATTTAGTGTGGATTTTTATTCAGTTTAGAATTTAGTGTAGTTTGACAATATTATTCAATTTTTGAATCTGTGTGGAGGATATACTTAATGAATGATGGGTTTTTATTTTTCAAATTGAATATCCCTTATCAAAATGCTTCGGACCTGAAGTGTTTAGATTTTGAATTTTTTTGCGTTTTGAGATATTTGCATTATACTTCCCAGTTGAGCATCCCTAATCTGAAAATATGAAATCTAAAATGCTAAAGTGGGCATTTTCTTTGACTGTCATGTTGGAGCTCAAAATGTTTTGAATTTTGGAGCATTTTGGATTTTTAGATTTAGGGATACTCAACATGTACTATTCATTCAACTCTCCTATATGTTTAAAAACTTTTTAAATACAAAGTTGGGAATATGAAAATAATTTGCCTTCTACTAGCATTTTCATTGGTCCTTTTATTTTCATCTATTCAATGTTTGTGAGGAACGTTTTAAAGTAGCAATACCATACAGCTTATGTATGAGAAAATGGAGCCAAAGAAGTTGGGAATTCATATTCTGTTCTCTTTTTTTTGAGATAGAGTCTTGTTCTGTAGCCCAGGCTGGAGTGCAGTAGCACTATCTCTGCTCACCATAGCCCCCACCTCCCGGGTTCAAGAGATTCTTGTGCCTCAACCTCCTGAGTAGCTGGGATTACAGGCATGCACCACCACGCCCGGCTAATTTTTTGTATTTTTAGTGGAAACAGGGTTTCACCATGTTGCCCAGGCTGGTCTCGAACTCCTGAGCTCAGGCAATCTGCCCGCCTCGCTCTCCCAAAGTTCTAGGATTACAGGCATGAGTCGTTGCACCTGGCCCTGTTCTCTTTTATTTTAACTTCCTGTTTAAAAAAATTGGCAACTTTTGTTCAGCCTACATGTTTGGTTTCAACCTATGTATTTGTTTTCTACAGGATTTAAGTGTTTCAAGTTAGTTTGAAATTTTGAAATAACAAATCTTACACATTTTTAAAGTGATCAGAAAAAGTAGACATACACTAGAATTCTCTAGCCAGTTAGGAAACACAAATATTTAAACAGACTGAAAGGAAAAACTCCCTATCACTTTTCACAATGGTAGTTACTTTTAATCTTCAAGGTATTTTGATAGATTTACATTTATTCCTCTAAGTTTATGAAAGAACATTTTAGCTTCCTCTATGCATCTTTTCTGAACAGGGATTAAAAGATATGTACTGTATTCAGGGTGGAGACTTCACCTTGGCTTGTGTGGGCTCTTAATGCCCTCTGGCATATATATGTGTTTTCATGTAGATTGCGACTTTTGACATGTTGTGTAAGTTTAGTTTGTTATCTGGGCTGATTACGTCAAATACTTTTCAGTTGAAATTTCCTCTCTGCTGCTTCTCTATTGCTTTTGTCTGGAGTGCTACAATAGATTAATTGCCCTGGGATAGCTGCATTGCTTTACTATATGAAGAACTGTCACTAATTCTACAAGAAGTGTGGTTAGGCCTCTGACAGGGATTTTCAGCAAAAAATTATTCTGGTGAATACAGGAATGTAATGAGCTTAGTATATCCTTGACTTTTTGGGAAATTTTCTTCTCTATACTTGTCTCAGAGAGGAGTTGTATAAAATAGATTTCATTTCCGGAAAAACCTGTGGTTTGTTCAAAGTAGTGCAGAATTCAAAGTACAGGTGCTCCCCAATTTAAGATGAATTTACTTAAGTTTTCGACTTTACAACGGTGTGAAAGTGATATGCACTCTGTGGAAATCATACTTCGAATTTTAATCTTTTTTTTTTTTGAGACAAAGTCTCACTCTGTCGCCCAGGCTGGAGTGCATTGGCATGATCTCGGCTGACTGCAACCTCTGCTTCCTGAGTTCAAGCAATTCTCTGCCTCAGCGTCCCAAGTAGCTGGGATTACAGGCATACGCCACCACACCCGGCTAATTTCTGTATATTTAGTAGAGATGGGGTTTCACCATGTAGGCCAGACTGGTCTTGAACTCATGACCTTGTGATCCACCTCGGCCTCCCAAAGTGCTGGGATTACAGGTCTGAGCCACTGTGCCCGGCCCAAATTTTAATCTTTTACTGAGCTAGTGATATGCAGTACAGTACTCCCTCATGATGCTGGGCAGTAACAGTGAGCCACAGCTCCCAGTCAGCCATGTGATCATGAGTGTACACGGCCAACATTTTACAATGCACTGTGTTGCCACATGATTTTGTCCAACTGTAGGCCAGTGTAAGCATTCTGAGCATGTTTAAGGTGGATTAAGCTAAAATTGATGTTCAGTAGGTTAGGTGTATTAAATGCTTTATGACTTAGGATATTTTCAATTTTTGATGAGTTTATCAGGACATAACCCCATTGTAAATCAAGGAGCATCTGTAATTACTATTTGTCATTTAACTAGATATATTAATATTCTCTTATCAAAGGTACAAGATAATCTGAAATTTTAAAATTCCAAATTCATCTTTAGACTTCTGTTTTTAAATTTTTGCATGGAAAACTGCATAGCTACCTCTTTTAATTACAGAATGCTTTAAGATTACAAATAAGGATAATGATTTTAAGAAGGTTAAGTGACTTCCAAGGTCTAAGTGATGGTGATGGCATTGAAATTTACTCTCAGAACTTTCTGAATTGAGTCTGAGCTCTTAACCACTGTATTATACGCTCTTCCATTTTTCTTTTTGTTTTTTTAAAAAATAAAACTAGTATCCGATGGCTTTTTTCATTAATTATCCAAAGTTACCAGGGAAGGTAGCTTAAGTAGTTTCTGTAGGGTAGGTTCAGAGAAGTGGAAAGATGTTAATATGTTTCTGGGAACTGATTTGAAAAATAATTTTGTTTCTCTAGGACAAAGAAAACAAAAAAAACATGGCTTTGGTCTAGGAGTAGAAGTTAATAGGAAAGGGTAATCATGGCCAAAGATACAGGAAACTGTTGAATGAAATAGAAGTGCCTGGAAAAAGACTGATGGTGGGATAATGTGGAGCTTAAAATTTACCTGTTAGTATA